GAAGAAATTCTTTATGATGAGGGTGGTGAGAGACTGGAACAGGTTATCCAGTGAAGCTGTGGTTGCCCCTCCCTGGGCATAGCCAATATTGATGCAGGGATGAAAGGGATATTGTCATCTCATAACTCCTGACCTTAACCAAAACCATAACCCCTCTTACTGCTGCTGATGTGGGATCATGTGTTGATCCCTGTTCATCAGAAGGAAACTGGTAGAGCTGTTCTGGGGGATGTGGAGGTTGCAGAAAATGAGTGGTGTGCATGCTCTGTCCATTCAAATGGTGAAAAAACAGGTTTTTGGTTCAGGTGGCCTTCCTGCTGGCACTTCTGAGCAAGCCTTCTTCATCCTGTCTGAATAAACCAAAGCCAGCCAGGCATGACCTTGTTACTGTAAAAGCTTTTTCAGTACTTTTAACCTCAGCAGGCAAAATTCCAGCATTCAGCTTTCTTTGGTGAAATGTCATGTGATCTGCTTTAAAAGAAAAGGTTTTTTAATTGCCTTTTGCCAATGAAATTGGAAAACTTAGAATTTTACTAGATGGAATTTTCAAAAATACCTTCATGATTTAGAGTCTGAAATCCACTTTTCTGTGCAATCTACTATATTCCGTGTGCATAATCCCATGAAAGTCTGTCTAGTACAGCAAGATGCCATATCAATAATATTAATACCATATTTCCACTATGGATAAATATTTTTTTCTTAGATGTTCACGACATATTTAAGTTTACTCCTCACAGTTTACTTAGTCAAATTGAACAAGGAGAGAATTGGTTTCTTCATGGTAACAAACCACATGAGTTGTGAGGCTGTGCTTCCTTTTTTGAAAGGGGTGTGCATACAGAAACTAATCTTTTGTTGTGGTTGCTCTCACTCTGATAACCATTGAAAAGTCTCTTCCAGGAAAGACTGAAGTTAATCATTTGGTGTGATTAAGAAGCCTATGAAAAAATGGATATGCACTTCAGAATTTTTAAATGAAATGTGTAGATAAAGATGGCTTTGAAAATGTATGTAGCAGAGAGAGAGGTTTTCATAAGCTAATCAGCCGGATGTTTATAGAGACAGACTTAAGTGTCCCATTCAGGCAGCTATCCATAAGTGCCACCAACATATCTACTCAGTTGAGTGCTATAGATAGAAAGGGTTGGACGTTCAGAAGCTGTATGTAACATTTCTGAATACCATTCCCACTAATGAAACAATCACAATGGGGACTACTATGGTCATGGTGGGGTAAGTATTCAAAAGTATTTGTCCCAGGAAGACAGAGTGTGATTTAATTATACTACAAACTTTATTAAATCATCTGTGAACTCTGTTGGCACTAAATAATAGAGAGAAAGTTAACAGCAACTATTCAGTCATGTTCAACTTGAAGGAAAATTTGTGTCAGTCCTCCTTTTTTCAAGCTTGCTCTTAGTCCATTGCTGGGAACTGACTACTTTTTTAAAAAATGAAGATAATCTCTGGGTGTTTTGAAATATTTGAACTTTTAATATTAAGATTTGCTTTTCCTTTAAAAAACAAATTACTTTTTTTTTCTCTGTTATTGCTAGAATCAATTGTTAGAACAGATGTGGGACTTTTTTCTGTTCTTCTTTGTGGGACCCAGTATAACATGTACTGTCCCCCTGCAGGCTTAGGAATCCCAGTGATAAGTCAAATATTAAAAATAATAAGGGTGTCTTACAGTTCATGGTGAGAAGTGCTTCCCAGAGAGTGATCTTTTTGTATTGATGAGCAGTGAACAAAACTGATATAATTTACCTCTAAAAGAAAACAAAGTTTTTCAGGCTGCTCTTGGATCACATCTATTGCTCCCATTGATTCCAAGTTGGCTTGACTCAATTCTATATTTAACTAACTCCCTTACAGTTAGTCTTTCAGCTTTCTGGTTTTTTTGAGGGTTTTTTAATCCATCAGATTTTATTTGGGTATAAATGACAACACGTACTTGGCATCATAAAAGTAGGATGGCTGACTACAATTTAAGAGCAGCAGGAGGAACAGCTGTACAGCTGTTTTTACCGCCTCTGCAGTTTAATTCCCTTAATAAAACCCCAAACTTTGCTGTGAAATGAACCTACATCCACTGCATCATGCAACTCTTCACTTTTCACAAAACAAAATTGCTATTCCGGTTCTTTGGGTAAATGACTTTCTGTCAGTTCTTTCTATTGCCTTTAGGTCAACTGTTAATATAAATTACCATCACTTTTCGCACTGGCTGGATTCCACAAGTGATTTGGTAGGTCAGATTTGCTTTGGTGTACCAGCTAGAATGCATAATTCTGATATTTGCTCAGTATTTGATAGCTCAGTTTTATTAATTATTGTTTCTTAATCCTTGAGTGTGTGTGTGTTTTTTCATAAACAGTCAGCTATGTGACTACTCATGGGAACATTTGTACTTAGTGCTTTTATATGATTTTGTTGAGCAAAACAGATTTTGAATTTCACCTGAAATTGTAGGTTATTTCTGAAAATTCACAAAGATGAGTATGTATATTGCCTTCTTAGTGTTTACACGACAGAAAATTACTGGATTTTAATCTCTAGGTTTCTGGTTGAAATTTAGCCCTGGTCAAAAAACTTTTATCTGAAACGTCTTAAATGTCCCCTTGAAATAAATTTGTTGGTACCAGTCCAGTCTTGGAAGACACTCTTCCATATTTGAAAAGTAGGTATTAGTTGTATGTGTTTTAGCAGTTTCTGTAGGGTATGGTATACACCTTTGGGAAATGCCTTTGGTTGGACAGTCTGAGTTTTGAGAAATATAAATTCCAAAAGTTTTGAAAAGTGAGTTGGTCAGGCTCTGCTCCGAAGGACTTGCAATCTACAATTTTAATAAACCCAAATTTGTCCTTAGAAGCTGCCACGAGCCTTAAGAGAGCCTGAGAATCCCTAGGAGCTCAGAAGCTAAGATAAAAGTTTTGAAGTGTAGAAGAAACATCATGGATTTGAAAAGAAGTAAAATCTGCAATTACTGTGTTCAAAATATGGCAGCAATTCGAATCTTCTTGGGAGGGCTGAGAACAGCAAAAGAGTCTGCTGAAGTTTTTTTAGTAAACAATCAACAAAATTTTGCTGTTTTTCACAGTGATTTCACTAGCAAATATATGATCTTAGCATGAAAGGTGCAGCCTGAAATACTGTTAGTGCTGTAATAATAAAAAATAGATCTCTAAATGTTAGATTAGAAAATTCAAATTTCATGCATAACCATTCATGTAGAAAGGTCATTCCTGAAGGCTTTAGTTGTGGTGTGAGGTAAAAAAAAAAAAAAAAAAAAAGGGGAGGAGGGGGCATTATGTTTTGCAGATGTTTCAATCAGTCCTGAACCATCTGAGGAACCAATAGATTTCCTGCTTTTTATGGTTTTGAATGTTCTGTGAAATTTGGAAGTAATCTACAATGGTACAAATTCAATAGAAAAGTCACAGTAATCTAGATTTAATATTCTGTTCTGGATACTCATTGGCTGTAAAGATTCTAATCCCTTTTTATATGAAGGATGATGCCCTCTTAAAATTCACTTAATTATCTTTCCACTTTCGCAAAATCAGTATGGTATTCAAAGCTACAGGTTTGTAGGGGCAGTATTGCTAAAATCTGTCATTTTAACTACACCTGCTTTGTATTCTGAAACATACTATCGGTACATACGTACCATATAAGGATAGTAAATATAGTACTACATTGAGTCATTTTGGTTTTTCCCCCCCCTAGACCTTCAATGAATTTGAAATAGAACAGCATCAAGAATGTGCTTACGACCACTTGGAAGTGTTTGATGGTGAAAGTGAAAAATCACCAATTCTGGGACGTTTATGCGGCAATAAGATACCAGATCCTCTCATTGCTACTGGCAACAAAATGTTTCTCCGCTTTATTTCTGATGCATCAGTTCAAAGAAAAGGCTTCCAAGCAACGCATTCTACAGGTCAGAAAATTAGGATGTACTTTACTAATAACTTCCCCTTTGTTTCATTTCTTTTCTAGGAATGGGATGAGTTAACAGATAAGACAATGTTACAACTACATGTAATGAAACCTTAAGAAAAGTAGGAAAGTCTGAGATTGCAGAAAGTATTCTCTAATATTTTAGACGTTTCTTTCTCCTTTTCTCTCTCTCTTTGTGTGTGTGTGTCAATTTTATAGGTAAACGATTAAAAGATTTTGAAACAAAATCTGATAAAAAGAAGATATTGGCATAGAAAGATTCATGCCATTAGTTTGTGAAAGATTCAATAGCTTTTCATTGTATTTCTAATAGCAATACCTCAGTGGGGCATGTGATGCACCTCTATTACTTTCCTGTTCTAACTTAAACAAAAGTCTGGGGTTTGTGTAAACAGCTATTACTTTCCTGTAGAACTAAAAAAGGAAGATAAGCTAAAGAAAAATAAGAAAAAACAATACTGAAGACTTTCTTAAGACTTGAAGAATATAATCTCCTTGAAATTTACCATCTAATTTGTTCTTTGGCAGAAATCACTGAAATTAAGAATAGTGTTTTGCAATTGCATTAATAGATTTCTTGGGACATTTTCATACTGTGTACATTATTTTCCTGAAGTTGCTTGGCTTACAGTGGCCCCTAGTGCTGACTCTCTGAAATTCCAATGCTTGCTGTAAGACGAGGGTTTTTCTTTGTTGTTTTCTTCTTCAGACATAATGTCTATCTTTACTTTCATTCTTATTCATCCAGTATTTGGCAATAAATATGAATGCAGAAAATATTTATAAATGTCTGTGCTGGTACATAAGATTTACTGACAGGTAGCAGTTATTAATAGAAGGTAGTAATCAAGGTGATTAGTCACTGTTAATACCATTTGATATTATCCAGAGTATTCACTAAGTTGATGTGTAGTGCTAAGCTAACAAAACCTCATATGTCAATGTAGGCATTTTCTCTTTTTTTCCTTCTTCTTTGTTAAGAATAATTCTAAAACTTTGTTAATTTAATTTCCCTTCAGAGAAAGGCAGTAAGCAATAGTATATGAACTATTCACTCTTCGTGACCTGGACCTGGAAAGTGAAAAGTTTAGCTACCTGTAATTCAATTTGTTTTTCTTGTGGGAAATCCTCTTCTACAAGCATGCCATTGTTTGCCTTCCCTACTGCAGTAACCCCTTCCCTTAGATGGAAAATTAAATAGAAATGGTAGTAATTACTCATTTTTAAATTACCTCGAGGTAAATATTTAAAGGTCAGAACTCTTGTTAGAAACAGGTTTTGTAAAACTACTGTCTCATTTATTCTTCTCATTTTCAATTTGCTGAATTGGAGCACTCGTTATATTGAAATAAGTTCAAATTTGTATTCCCTAGCTTCTGAAGATTGCTATTTATATTATGACTTAATGGAATTTATATTTTTATATATATATTTATCTGCTGAGTTTTATGTGCCTTAAATGTAAAAACTTTCTTAGCATGCATAATAGTGCTTTTCTGAGAAAGTCTGAAGAATAGAATCTACCCAGTTTGTAAGTGGTGTAAAAATTAGAAAGTTTGCCTCCTTAAGAGAGGACATTTATTTCTGTCAACTGCTGTTGCACCAACTGCTCGCTAAGTTGAACAGCACATCTCCAGCATGTGCTTTTTTACCATTTAGTGAGAGACAACTTGGATCTTGTAGCCTTTTCCTGTGGTCTTGAGCCAAACACAGATGCTCCGAGGGAATTTTACCTCTGTGCTTTGGGGACGCATGTGAATGAATAGATGTCTAACAAGTGTATAGGTAGTGGGTTGTATTTCTTTATTTTATTTTTTCTAGCAAATAATAATTGACAGTATGCAATGGAAGTAGGCGTGGTTGTGCTGAATCCTGCATAGCTGTGCAGACAGACAGGGAGAGCTGAGGAAGCTGCTGCCTTCACTTCTGACCTCTGGGCAGAACTCACTCAGTAGAAGGGCCCATGTAATAGAACAGCAGAGAAAGAGTAACTGGATCCTATGCCCAAAGGTGTCTATGCTGCTGTATTCCCAGCATCTTCAGGATTTAATGGCCTCTTATCCTAGTAGATGCTGCTGCTGATGTTGATTTCCCTTCTGTGACACTTTTTTGGCTTGAAATAACTATCCAAATAGCAATTGAAATATCCAAATATTCCATTGAATATTAAAAAAAAACCAACAAAAACCACCAAAAAAACCCAAACCGGATAAAAGTGTAGCAGCAGGGGCAATAAAGTTTCAAAAAATAGATTGGATAGAAAGGCAAAACTTATAAAATGCTGCTTTTAAAGTGCAACACAGTTTTAGAAAGAGATTCTCCTATATTTTCCCTCTCAGAAAAGGCATAACCCATTCAAAAGGAATTTACAAAAATGGTCCTGACAGAACATTAAGCATCATTGCTCAGGGAGTGATTTGGTTGCCCTAACACAGGCATCTGGTTCCCTTCTGGACAGCCTCATTTATGTTCCATGGCCTCCAGCCACTGCTGCAGGAGGTTCCAGGTCTGTTGTAGGTCCTGTTCCTATTTGTCAGTCCTGGGAGGATGCCTTTGACAAATTTGGGCTTCTCAGGTGTCACTCAGTGTAGGATCCTCTGTCGCTTCCAAAATGACTACAATTATTCATTATGGCAATGCTGAATCAAACTTATAATCTTGTTTCACTAGTTCAGATAGTGTGAGTTTAAGCTTTTCCTGTCTGTCCAGCTTGCTAAACAGTCGAGAGACTGCTGCTTGATTTTCTCTTATGTTTGCAAGAAGCCTAAAAACCCCTAGAAAGGTCAGGAAACAAGAAAAAGTTTTTTGTTCCTTAGCTGATCTAGAAAAAAGTCTTTCACCTAAGGCTGTCAGATCAACAGCATCTTACAAGTCAGATATAATTCATTACGGTCAGATGCGTACGTCGTACCTACAGCAGAGCAGCCCCGACACAATGGAAGGCGTGATGGTCGGTGCAGCTAGGTTAGTTCTGACGTCAAGGCTAAGGAAGCGCTGCTGCGTGGCACTGCTCTGTTCTGCGCAGACCCGTCCCACGTGTCCTAATGCAGCGCTGCATTGTGCAGGCTGGATGTAGGTTTTTTGAAACTACAACTTAGACCTTAAGAAATTGAAAATCTGACTTGTAATTTCTAAAATCAGTACTTTATCTTAAAATATAAGGCTGTAATCCATGGGATGAGGACAGAGAAAAAGGAATTGCCATTTTCTGCCATTGCTAGTATGGCTACAACTTTCCTTTAAGCTCCTGTCCACTGTAGCAAGCAGAGGGAAACAATGCAGACAGTTCATTAAACATTTTCTCCTTAGCAGCTGTTCTGTGTCTGAAGCAGGCAGATGTTCTTACTGTTGGCAACAGTCCAGTAAAAAAAAAAAAAGGAAGTAAATGAAATCAAGAAAAAAACCCCAGTAAATTAGAAAACCAATAAGAAATAACTGTTTGATCGATCTGTTTGAACTATCTCTTTTGACTAATTTTCTTTATTATATGCTCTTATTTGTTTTTTAAAAGCAAAAAAATTTTGAAATTTCAAATTGAACAACAGATCATGCATAATGGATTACTCTACTTCCATATTTTTATTTCCTGCTTTGATTCCTTTATTTTCTTATTAAGAAAAAACACCATGTTTATAAAAAATAAGAATTTGCTCATTACTGTCATTAATTCCCAGCTGAAACGTGATTCCTCACAATATAACATTGCAATTGGTCATGTTTAGTGTGGATGGAGTCCATGACACTGAAGTCAAATTCAAATTATCAATTCACCAAAGCTTAGAAATGTTTGAATCTTGCAATGTTTTCCAGGTTATTTTAAAATGATCAATTTATAATAGCTACATTTGATCAAAATGCAGACGGAATTATCTGTTCGTTTATTTATAAACATTGAATCTAAACTTGTGAATCTCAGGTTTTTGTTCAAGCTCATTTGTACTTGGTGGTTTTATGGGTGCTGTAAGAGATGGATTGTTCTTGATGAGAAATGAGAACAAAATTATGCTGTTTTCATTTAAATCTTTGTAGCTGTAAAGAAAAAAAAAGCCTCCACCCATAATGGAGGAAACATAATAAACAATGCATTTTTTTCTTTGAAGTCCAATTTTCCATCTATTGCTGGTTACACTGTAGTAGAATTTGTAATTGACAAATGCATAACACCTATACATTTAAGTTACTGTAGAAGCTGAATTCACTTTAGGGTAGAATATTAGTCTGAACCACATTCCTTACAACTTTAGTGTTCTCTGCCTTTTGGTCTTTCAGTTGACAATGATGAAATATGCTCAATTTTCTGTAGTTACAAACCAGAATTTATATAGGGAAGACTCAGAATGATGGATTTGTATTCATACTGGGTAGTACTTCACTCTGTACTTTGTTTGATTGATCTGCTTGTGGCATAAAAATGCACTCAGCCTGAATGAGTGGCTGGGCATCTATGAAAAGAAAATGCTAATTTGCACTGAATAAGCTTCTTCGTCCTTATTTTTTTTTCTTCTGTTCAGAGTGTGGTGGTCGGCTGAAAGCTGAAACCAAGCCCAAAGATCTGTACTCGCATGCTCAGTTTGGCGATAACAACTATCCGGTTCAGGCGGACTGCGACTGGCTGCTGGTGGCAGAGCGCGGCTATCGAGTCGAGTTAATGTTTCAGACTTTTGAGGTTGAAGAAGAGGCAGACTGTGGTTATGACTATGTGGAGCTCTTTGATGGTCATGATAAGACAGCTTTGAGACTTGGGAGATTTTGTGGATCTGGGGTAAGTAAGCAGGTACTGAAGTTTTTACTTCCACAATAAAAAGAAAAAGAAGGGGCAGAGGAAGGAAAGGGATGAGAAGGGATGAGATTTAGTTACTGTACCTTATAATGAAGATACTAGATTATCTGTTCTGGGTTATTGTTTTTTTAAATATAAATTTCCAGACATGTAGTACAAGCATTCCCTTGAAATATTTTCAACAATATTCTTATCTAGTTTTTCATCAAATTATTGTAATCTTATGTTAAACTGTAGGTAGCTGGCAGTGGAGTGTTTAACAGCACCCCAAAAAAAGTTAACAGCATTTTCCCTTAGAGGGAGAGAAATGCACTGGTGTTGAAAATTATCACATTAAAATTCTTTCAATTTGAATGAAGAAGCCACATTTTGTAGGGGCAGGGAGCTTGGGAAGCATTTATAATATGCTCATCTACTATTTAAATCTGATTTCTGGGGGGGGAGGGGGGGGAGAAAAGTGCTCCTAAACTGTGTGATGAATACGGGCCTTAAGAAAGCCTTGTCATCCCAAATGTATCTCTAACACGTTTTAACTGTGAGACGTGGAGGAAATTGGCCAGGTGACATCCTGAAAAGGGTGTATCCTATTTCTCCTTTTAGACTTGTATTGTTCTGTTGGCTGCCTGCCTTGAGAAGGCTGGTGCAATGATCTCACAAGTCTTCATCAATTCTTTATACATGTGAAAATACAAGCACACTTTCATACGTATACCCTTTGCCTAGATAAAGGGTTTGAAAGCCTTTACATAAGACCGTAGGAACGCTTAATTAACTGCGTGACACTTTTTTGGATTCAGCCACAGTGCTGGATCAAACATCTCAGTTGCTCAGACAAATTACCTGTAAGCTGGCTTAAATCCTTTTAGGGCATTTTTTTGAACACTCAGAGATGCAGGAAAGGTGCTACCACTGAACTGTAGGCAATTTGTTCTAAGGGAAATGCTACAGCTGAGCCCAGCATCTACTAATTTACACAAAACAATGCCTTTCTTTGCATATTGCCTTATTTTACAAGTAGGAGGGCAGCAAACTGGAGAATAGCCCAATTTCAGGCTGATTTCTTTTTTTAGGGGGAAGTGGGCAGCGGGGGTGTGTGGGGGTGGTGGTGGTTGGGTTTTGTTGTTGGTTTGGTTTGGTTCTGGTAAGATATGGATGAATGGCTTCAGAGGCCATTCCAAAGCAAGCACATAGGAAAGATGGAATTAAATAGAAAAGCTATTGAAAGCAAAATAATCCAAGATGAAGTGAGCAAAGGGCACTGCCAGTATACATTAACACCTCCTCAACTTCAGAAAAAGGACTTGGTAGTTCAGCTGGTACTTCTGATCAATGTGCTTTAGTAATAAGACAGGCCATCATGAGGGCTATGAAGAATAAAATGGAAAATAGGTACTGGAGTACTTTGTTTATCTTGGAGTTATAATAGGTACTGGAGTTACTTGTTTATCTTATTACTGGAGTAATTTGTTTAATTTAGAATATTGTTTATGGTCCTGCCCAGTCACTTACATGACTCAGAAGAACTACAGAAGACATCTGGGAAGGACAAAAGAATGAGAAGCTTTGTTCTCTGTCTCATAAGAAAAGATTGTAGATACATTCAATACAAATTAAATACAAAAGGGAAATGTCCATTAAAAAAAAAAAGTGAATGAAAGGTATAAATACACAGAATGGACAGTTAATTTGTTTGTTTATTCATTTATTTTAGCCACCAGAAGAAATTTATTCAGCAGGGGAAGCTCTTTTACTTCACTTTCACACTGATGATACAATCAACAAGAAAGGATTTCATATACGATATAGAAGTATAAAATATCCAGATAGTGTGCACACCAAAAAATAACACGAGAACCTCTATGCCAGAAAAAGAGAGTGAGAAAGAAAGAACACACAGAGGAAAGGAAGGCGTGTCTTTTTTTTTTTTAAACTGAAATTATTAGCACAAATGTTTTATATGAGTTCAGTTGAAATGATGACTTATAAGACCAGAGACTGAAATAAAATTAAAAAAATCAACAAACACCTATCCCAGTGGAATAGACAAGATGATAGATGATGATGTGCGGGCTCCATACTTGACTGTCTCTGCAAAGCTTGTGAAAGGACTTTGCACGCACGGAGAATGTAAAAGCTTTTGTTCACGGTTTGACATTTGTCATAGATGCGTGCAGATTCAATTAGTTGCATTCAGGGGAAGTGACCCTGCAAATCGTTCTTCCTTCTGACAATTGTACGGTGTCCAGGAGGAAAAAAAGCGCTTTCAGGTCACACACTCAAAATACTGTCCTTATATCTAGTTGCTTTGACTTTGTATCCTGCGTACGGTGTGTACAAGGACTTGAAAGAAGATATGAAATAGGAAGATCTTCCTGTGTTGTTCTGTATTTTTTACAAATTCATCTGTCATATCAGGTTATCAGTATTTTGAAACTGGAAAATTCTACTTCTGAAACATAACTGATCTTTAGAGTATTTTGTTTTACTAATGACTGAGAAGTCTGAACTGTTACATCAGTCATCACTAGTTGACCAAGCACTAGTTGACTGAATTTGAACAGTGTAAGCATCTGAAAATGTTTGGTTTACTGGTTAAGTAAGCTATCTCTGATGATGTGCTCTTATTTTGCACTGAACATAGAAAGAGACTGAGAAGAAAACCTGACCTGAATCAAAGTCTGTATCCATGAGAAACAGAAATAGTCAAGGATGTCTGAAACTCCTCCTACTGAATTTGTTTTTAGCAGTCCATTTGGAACCACTACTAAGCTTTATTTCTTCGGACCTCTTTGTGAATGAGCTAATTGTCTGGGTTAGCTAATCAAAAATGAAGCTGCAGTAGTATCCAAGAGGGAGGTTTCCCAAAGAGGTTTTTTTTCTGGGAGTAAGAGATTCTGTGATGGCGAAAAAAGCAAAACAAAACAACAGACCCAGGATTTGTTTGTTATCAAGAGTGAATTCTTATGGTGCTATTCCATGAACATTAAAAACAAAAACAAACCAAGAAGTTTTAGACTTTTGAGCCAACAGCTTGCAGATCATGAATGTCTCACTACACCTGGCTGCATCTGAAGGAGGAAGGCTTTACTGCTCCAGGGGAGAGCGGCAGCGCTAGTTCTGTGGAACAACTACTACTATTGCCTTAGAATCCTCGCACACGGTCAGACAGATCTTCCTGTAGATTCACCTCTAATTTGATAAATAATTCGATGACTTGGACATCTTAGCATACGCTAACAAAAGCATCTTCAAGCAAAAGCCCCATCTGCAGAGCGAGATCATCTGCTGTAAATACAGTGACCTGCTTTTGATGTAGAGATATGTTACGTTTAGAACTGAGATATTCTATGTGCTTTAGGCCATACATGGCTTTAGTCATAATGTATATGCATTATGTAAGTATTGTATGAATGAGTGCTCCAGGGGAGTGAGAGGTATTGTATGGGTGAAAATTGAATTGTTTCTTTATGTGCCAAGTTCTATCAGGACCCTGTTTGACTGTAGCAACTTTTCTTTAAAGGCTTCATAGACAGATAACAAGGACTTCTAGTTGGCAAGAATCAAGTTTAAATGAAGTATTATGTTTCACTTACAAGAAATATTATTTTGATATCCTTTGATGTAAGTTGCTACTCAGATTAGCTTAGTTTCTGTTACCTTACTATGAACATACATTGGCACTAATAAATCTGATCTTTTTTTATAAAAATAAAACCCAAATGTCTGTATAGGTGTCTTTGGTTGTTTTAACACCACTATTGCTGCTCATATATTACTGCTTTCCTTTCCAGACAGTTTATGTGTGTGAAGTTCAAAAACTGAATAATTTCTTTGTTTTTATAATGCTGCTCCACTGTCCTGTTTGGTTCATTTTTCAGGGTGTTTGCACAAGAAGTTAACCGCAAACATCATCTCCAGGATCTTTTACTACAAAATTCTGGCAGATATATTACTATAGTTTCAAAAAATTGTATTCTTAGCTTTGATACATAATTTATCAGCTGGGTGGAATACCAGTGCTCAAATTTCTGAAAGGAAAAGCAAGCAGCAGCAGTGTCCCCCTGGCACAGGTAGCCAAAAGGAGTTGGGAAAGTCTGAGGCTGGGAGCAAGAGTAGGTTTCCATGTTACCTTTTCTCCACTTTTCTGTTCCAGTCTCCCTTCCATTTGCTAAAGAAAATATTTTAAGTCCTCCTTTTCTCTAAATTTGGCTTTTATTTTATTCCCCTCAGGATTACTTTAACAACCGTAGGGTTGAGTCAAGACTAATTTTTTTTTGGAAGGGGTTGTTGTTGTTGTTCGTACAGACCCCTTTGTGTATACATCCTACTGTCCTCTGTTACGTAGTAGAACTGAAGTAGTTGGGGAAGAAGGTTAGACTGGGCAAGCTGAGGGCAAGAACACCAAATAGTGTATTTCCAAGACCCTGTGTAAGGTGATTCTTTGTGGTCATATCAAAGTGTTGCTTTGAGTACAGTATGTCTGGGATTATTTCACAGGGCATATGTAGAAGTCAGAAGAGAGTTGCCATAACTTTGAATACAAAGTTTAATTTTATTTCTCTAAATACTTATTTCTTTGTAGATCCCATATGCTTAAGAGTGGTGAAAATGAGAAAGGTGTTCTTAGTGATTATCTTGATAAATGGACCATATGGATCATATCTTCGCATTGGCCATGGTCCTAATCAATGCCTCATGGTGCTATCAGATGCTATTAAAAATGTAGTTATTTCCAAGTCCTAGGAGGTTTTTCCTGATGTAATGAAAATCACGTATTCAGTGAACTCATTTAATGGCTGTATGCCTTATAAATAGCCTAACAATAAGAAAACAATGAAAAAAATAATTTATGTTGATGAAATTATGAAAAGCAGCGTGGGTTTTCCCCAAAAATCTTTGAAATGGAGAAATTTGTACACAACATTGATTAAAGATCTTGCCTGTTGAGTAGTCAAAAAAACCCCAAGTCACAAAATCCAATGGGCTGGAGATCCACCTTTGAGACCTGGTCACCATGCGTTTACTGGCAACACTCCCAGCAGGGTGAAGGTGATACTTATTCTGCTTCTTATTTGATACAAACTTTCTTAACTGTGGGTAAGCCGCTGGATTCAAATGAATTTTCCTGTAACATGATGTAAAGTTTTCTCCACAGCTACATAAAGAGCTTCTGATGTGTGCTGAGTATTATTCTTTAATGTTGTTACATTCAGCATAAAGTGTTAAGTTGATGGCACATGCTGGATCTGTGTGGCTGACTGGCTCCTGAAGAATGTAAGTCTGTAGCAGACCAAATTCTGTGATCAATACCATGCTCATATAAGAGGGAAGATATGTTTGTGAAAGGCTTTCCTTTCATCCTTAAAGAAAAAGGAAAAAAAGAATAAAAATCATTGGTGAAGGACAATTAAAATGGCTACCTTACATAAGAGCTGTGAAGGTCTAGATGAAGTGAATAAAGCAAGGTAAGTGTACACACAGTGGATATTGTGGCCATTTGTTGTAATCTGCAAAATATTTCGGTAATCTTGCCTTGCTCTGAGACCCATGAAACAGCGAGTTGACCTAAACGTGGGGGAGGGCCAGGTCAGATCCTTAACATAGAATTGCAGCATTACTTTTTATTTTAAAACAGATTGCTTTTGAACCACTGTAAAAAATTAGATTAATTGGGTGGAAGCTTTCTCCACCTGGGGAATCAGTTTTGCAATTTTGCGATATTGCCAGGGGTGCAAATGGCACACCTAATTTTTTATAACGGAGGAAATTGTTGTTGACCTCACAGGTTGTGAGCTGCGCTGACTCTAGCTGTGTGCTGCACCGCCATAGAGCATGGACACTGCTCAGGCACACTGCAACGTTCTTTTGTAATGTAATGATTCTGTTCTGCCAAAATTTACAGATTTCAGAGTTTAGGGACCTGGTATGGGTATGTAATTTCAGGAAAGTATTCAGTCTTTAAATAGACCTTACCAGTAACCAGAGGGGAATTTTCCTTTGACTTCAGGTCTTAAATGGGTCCAAATGAGTCATAGGAGGGGATGGATTTTATCACAGTAACATATGTACGTGTGTGATCATACAGATTGGCACAACCTTATCTAAGGACTTGCTCTTATTTTGATTTTATCATTGATTATTATAATTCAATTATTAATTGATCAGTCATAAAAAGGCAGCAGAGCAAGAACAAACAGAATGCTTGGAAAAGGAAAATATAAAGATACCACAGATATAACTACATTACATTACCAAAAAAAAAAAAAATCTCCAGCTGTTGCTGATATATTAATTTTTCAATGCATCCTTCATATTCATTAAAAATGCTTTGTGCTGTATTGCTTTCACTTACCTGAAGGAAGAATGAGACAATTAATTATATCAGTTAGTGACTTTTTCAAGCAGAGAACTGAAGACAACCTAAGGAATGACTCGCTTTTGGTCCCTAATGATGCATATCCTGAGTAACTACCTGTTTGTGAGAGGGAGTAACGCGGGGCTGTAGCTCTTACAGGTTGGGGTTTTTTCCCCTCTAGTACTCTCAAGGTTTGCTGCTCTAAGCTGAAGACTTGGGGCAATATTTTATGTAACACCTCATGATCTAATTCAATTAATCAAAATAATAGGCAGCTGCTTAATACCACTGTTTCATGGAATCAGGATGAAGTTGCATTTTTTTCAAGTTATTCCTTGTTAACAAATGTTCTCATTTCTCCTGGTGTCTCATTTTAAATTCACAAAGGAAGTAAGCTGTAGCAGTTGCAAAAAAATATTTAAGGTGTAGTGGTATTGGGTGAACAGTGAAAAGAAACTTTAGCAAGGGTTGGGTCTCTGTTTTGATCCCACCTCTGCAATTGTTTTCTCTCATGTTTTTTACTTGTAAGCGATGAAATCCCATCTTAATCCAAGATTAAGTAATATAACACACACACGCACATTATATGTGTATATCTCTTTATATATA